GCTGCTGCTGCTGCTGCTGCTGCTGCTGCTGCTGCTGCTGCTGCTGCTGCTGCTGCTGCTGCAGCGGGAGCTACGTGTCTCACCTGCTGTCTCGTTTGGCTCTGCAACGCGAAAGTAAGAAGCTGCGGATACACCCCAAACCCTAGCGAGGGTTTAGCGTGTTCTCTCAAACCACCCTCTTACTCCTTCTCCTGCTGCTGCTGCTGCTGCTGCTGCTGCTGCTGCTGCTGCTGCTGCTGCTGCTGCTGCTGCTGCAGGGATGAGAAACGACTGCATAGATATTCTCTCCGCCCTGATGCAGCACTGCCCCGAAAATTTGAGTTTTGAGGCCGTGCAGGCGCTCGAGCATGTTTGTGCTAAACCCTAAACCCTAAACCCTAAACCCTAAACCCTAAACCCTTACAAAACCCTAAACCCTTATCACACCCTAAACCCTAAACCCTCGCCTTTTATACAGAGAACAGTTGCAGTCTTTATGAGGCTCTCTTTGGCGTGCATGCAACACACGCAGCCCTATACTGCTCCCTTCTTTTCTAGGGTTTAGGGTTTTCTAGGGTTTAGGGTTTAGGGTTTAGGGTTTGTTGAGGGGTGTGCAGGCCCGCGTGTTTCTGCATTATCCTATTCGTCCCTCGGTGATGTACGAGTTGCTGGATCTAACAAACACCCAGTATTTCAAGAGAACTCTCGTAAGTTTTTTTTTTTTTCTAGGGTTTAGGGTTTAGGGTTTAGGGTTTAGGGTTTAGGGTTTAGGGTTTGTATACACGCAGGAGCTGCTCCTCTCCGAGCATGCACAAACCGCCGAAAGGGTTTTACAGATAGCTCCTGTCTTTTGGTATAATGCTTCGATACACCAGGACTGTGAGCACCCCAAACCCTAAACCCTAAACCCTAAACCCTAAACCCTAGCCCGCAAACCCTAAACCCTAAATTTTAGGGTTTAGGGCTCTCTGTGTAGTTTACTGTAGAGCACCGTGTTTGCGTAGGTTTTTATTCCTGCTGTATAACTCTCCCAGGATCTAGGGTCTAGGGTTTAGTGTTTAGGGTTTAGGGTTTAGGGTTTAGGGTTTAGGGTTGTGCTGCAGCGGAGCCTGTACGCGTCATAGCTGTAGCAACGACCCGCAACTTTTACATCGTTGAGAGGCCTCCAGGGTTGTAAGTGAATTAGGGTTTAGGGTTTTCTAGGGTTTAGGGTTTTCTAGGGTTTAGGGTTTTCTAGGGTTTAGGGTTTTCTAGGGTTTAGGGTTTAGGGTTTTGCAGGCGGGACCCTCTCCACCCCGAAGTAGAGTTTATGTATAGAAGCGGCGAGGGTTTTGTGATCCTAGAAACGAGAAAATATAAAAAACTAAAAAAAATAATAAAAGGGTTTCCCGCTGACAACTGGCTTGCTGCTGGATGGATGCTACAGGTCAGCTGCGGTGTATACGCACCTTTTGTTTTTTTTCTTTTTTTTTTTTTCGGGTGTATAGGCACCTTTTGTTTCTTTTCTTTTTTTTTCTCGGGTGTATAGGCACCTTTTGTTTCTTTTCTTTTTTTTTCTCGGGTGTATAGGCACCTCATTTCTATATTTATTTTGCTCGGGTGTATAGGCACCTTTTGTTTCTTTTTTTTTCTCGGGTGTATAGGCACCTCATTTCTTTCTTTTTTTTCTCGGGTGTATAGGCGCCTTTTTGTTTCTTTTGCTCGGGTGTATAGGCACCTCGATTCTTATTTTTTGTTTCTTTGCTCGGGTGTATAGGCACCTAAATTATTTGTTGGTGTAGTTGGGGTGTATGTACACCTCAGTTAATATATTTTTATTATTTTTTTATTATATTTATATAATATATAAAATAAATATAAAATATAATAAATATATTATTTTTATAATTCAGATTTCTCTTGTTGTATTGAAATAATTATTATAAATATTTTTGCATAATAAATAAATAAAACTTTTTTATTTTTATTTTTATTTTTTTTATTTTTTTTTTATTTATTTATTTTTATTTTTATTAAATTAATTAATAATATTATTATTATAATAAAATAAATTATTTTTATTATAAAATAAACTAACAAAATAAAAATATAAATAAATAAATAAAAATTCTTTTTCATTCTTTTTTTTTTTTACTATTATAAAAAAAAAAATAAAAACAACAATACAGCTCGATTTAGTTATATATATTTATTTATTTATTTATTTATTTTTATTTTTATTTTTATTTTTTTTATTTATTTTTTTTTATAGGAAGAGGAGAATGGGGTGTATACGGAGACATTCGATTGTCTCCTTATGGAGGTCATCACACAAACCACAGACTTCATCTTCTGTCTCCGCGCCCTCTCAGGTGTATATATATTTATATTTATTTATTTATTTATTTATTTATTTATTTATTTATTTTTTTGTTTGTTTATTTTGTATTAATTATTATGTATTAGTTGTTTAATAATTACTGTTTATGCAATTGGTGGCTCATGAACGAGGGTTTAGGGTTTAGGGTTTTCTAGGGTTTAGGGTTTAGGGTTTAGGGTTTTCTAGGGTTTAGGGTTTAGGGTTTAGTGTTTATCATGTCTGGTATATTTTTGTTTCTCCGTATAAACGCTCCCCCTTCCGTTCTCCCCCCAAGCGTTTAGTGTTTTCTATAGTTTTCTAGGGTTTAGGGTTTTCTAGGGTTTAGGGTTTTCTAGGGTTTAGGGTTTATATACAGGAGAAACAGAAGAAGAAAGAGTACAAGTACTGCGAGACGTTGTCTCCGCGGAGTGTCTCCTCCAGCATCTGCCGCTGCAGCTAATCAGAGACAGTTTCTTAGCCATACAAAGAACTGTGGGGTTTTGTCTCCTTTTGTCTCCTTTTTATTTTATTTTTTTTTTTTTTTTATTTTGTCTCCTTTTGTCTCCTTTTTATTTTGTCTCCTTTTTGTTTCTGTCTCCTTTTGTCTCCTTTTTTTTTGTCTCCTTTTTATTTTGTCTCCTTTTTATTTTGTCTCCTTTTGTCTCCTTTTCATTTGTGTCTTCTTTTTGTTTTGCCTCCTTTGTCTTTCTGTCTCCTTTTTATTTCTTTCTCCGTCTTGTTTTGTCTCCTTTTTATTTTGTCTCCTTTGTCTTTCTGTCTCTTTTTTATTTTGTCTCTTTTTTATTTTGTCTCCTTTTTATTTTGTCTCTTTATTATTTGCCCCCCTTCTTCTGTCTCCTTTTTATTTGTCTCCTTTTATCTATCTCCTTTTTCTTTCTTTCCTTTCTATCTGTCTCCTTTTCTCTATCTGTCTCCTTTCTATCTGTCTCCTCTCTATCTGTCTCCTTTTCTCTATCTGTCTCCTTTTATCTGTCTCCTTTTTGTTTTTTTTTTTTTTTGTTTTTTTTTGTTCTTTTGCAGTCTGCTGAAGATGAGGCGCCAGTTGACCGTCTCGGTTTATACATCCTCACATCTATGTGTAACTAGGGTTTAGGGTTTAGGGTTTAGGGTTTAGGGTTTTAGGGTTTAGGGTTTAGGGTTTAGGGTTTTAGGGCTTTAGGGTCTAGGGTTTAGGGTTGGCGTTTGTACTGGTCGCTCCATCTCATTTCCTTTCGAGGGTTTATATAGGGTTTTAGGGTTTAGGGTTTAGGGTTTAGGTTTTAGGGTTTAGGGTTTAGGGTTTGTGGTGGTTTGTGTAGATTTGCATGAGTTTGCTATCGACTGGAAATATTGGTTCGCCTTCGACGCCGCAAACCCTGGTGAATCTGCTGCTGCTGCTGCTGCTGCTGCTGCTGCTGTTGCTGCTGCTGCTGCTGTTGCTGCTGCTGCTGTTGCTGCTGCTGCTGTTGCTGCTGCTGCTGCTGTTGCTGCTGCTGCTAATAAAAAAATAAAACAAAAAATAAAAAAAAATTATGTATAAAGATTATTTTTACTGTGTTTGTTGTTCCTGCATTATCCTAATACAAAAAAAAAACCAAAAAACCTTAAAACAATATTAAAAAAAAAAAAAAAAAAAAAAAAAAAAAAAAAAAAAAAA